TTTTAGCATCCCATTGAAAAAGAATATTTTCTGCTGACTTATGTTGTGGGCTAGTGTAACCTAGGCCAGATCAGATGAGTATATGTAATTCAAAAGGTTTTAAAAGTTATGCCTTCTGCGGTATTTTAAAATATTTAACTTTGATTTTTCAGTTTGTATTTGAATTTCTTAAATATATCAATGTAACAGTTTGCTCACTTACAGAGTAGAAATTAAATGATAATGGAGTTAATGCTAGTTTACAAAAGCACTCTTAGCCTTAGCTTATATATTTCTACCTTGTTAAATATTCAATCTTTAACAAGAAGGCCTCATTTTCAAGTCAGATTCTAACAGTTTTTTTTTTAAAGATTCTTCCTTTAGTTTGTTGTTAGCAGTGTTTATATGAGGTACAAGGTTTAGAAAGGACAGAAACATAAAAGAAAGTTGAAAAAGATAGAAATATCAAGGGATATATCAGAACTAAAACCTCTGACATTTCAAGTGAACTATGGGTTCCTAATTTAATGTTATCAGAACCAAAAGTTTGATCTAGTTTTAACTAGTTATTGGAGAAGTAATGTTTAAGAGGTTGTACTAAATTGTGTTGAGATCTGTGTTGTAAAAGATTTTAGCGAGAACATCCAAGAATTTCTTCAAGTCATAAGGAACCAGAGAAACAAATTTCCTAAAGAAGAGACCACTTCAGAGATGCCATTGAAGGATGAGGCCAGTTCCCAGACCAGAAGACTGTGTTAGACATCTGAGATTCAAGATGAAATGTGCTAGTAAAATGGATATTGGGAGTGGGTTACTGGGAGGAGACTTATTTTAGTTAATGTTGATGATCATTATTGTATTACTTTGGTTTTTTGCTTCTCAAGTATCTATGGTTGCTGAATTTTCTCAGTTGTCTTGAAACATGTAAATTTCCCTTCTAAATTTAGTACATGGTTTTAGATATTTGTACTATGGCTTGTGTTATGATTAATCAGTCATTATTCTTTTTCAATCTTTCTTTAGTTACTATGTTAAAGCCTGTTTTGAACTTCCACCAGAAAAAAATTGTGTTAGTATGTCCTACTGTTGATAATGATTATGTTAAGGATCTTTAAAGATCAGATTATAGATAAATGATCTATGAGAGACACATATCTCTCATTGATCAAAGGGGGGAATTGAGAAGATTAAGATCAATCCTGTATCATTTTCTTTTTGATCCTATTTACAAGTAATTGACTTTGTCCTGTAACTGCTTAAGTCATGGTTCTTTGTCTCTGAACTTAGTTCAGAGTAGAGCTGGCCTGTAATGGGTTAAGTTTAAAAATCTAGCTCTTGTTACCTCGAGCAATTTTGCTAACCTTGGGGAATGTGTGTGAAAGAAAGGGAGTTGGGCCTGTTACCTTTATTCCACCAAGCTGTCCTTTAAGTGTGTCTGGGTTGCTATCCAAAAGTCTGGGCTGCTATCTCGCACCTGGACTGCAACGATTAGCACTTCTTAGTCTCATGGAGGAGAATGGGAGGGGGTCGTTGCAACCCCCTATTACCAAACTTCCAACCAATTATATTGTACCTTGTGCCTCAGTTTTGTAACCAATCATATTGCCCTCAATCCCAGGATAGATGTCAGTTACCCTATTCTATTCTTTGTTCTGTACTCCCCAAACCCTATGAAAGGAGAATTGTCCTTTGGCTCAGGGTCTTTGGCATAAATGGAGGCAGAAGGCAGCATGCCCCTATTAATAAATGTTGTCTCGTATGGAGATTTGCTACAGTTTACCCTTTTGTTAAATTTCACTTGAGATGCTACCCAAATCTTGGAGCTAGGTAGCCTAAGCCTTCATGATTTAGGAGTGATCTGAATGTTCTGTTGAGTCCCTGTCAGGTATAAACTTCACCTGGAGAGAACTCCAGCTCAGTTGGTAGGCCCTTTCTCCTCAGGCACAGAATTCCCTTTCTTTCCAATTGATTCTGTTCACAATATCTTCCCAGTCCTCTTCCTATTTCCTACCTACTCTCCCTCCTCCAGTTATCCCTGCCACCACTTTGTGTAGCAGAGGAAAAAAAAAATTTTTTTTTGCCTGTTACAACATATGGGCAAATCAGACTGAATCACTACCTTGATGAGACAGTTTAGAAGTCACTAAAACTAGCTCTTTAAACACAGGCTTAACAGGTAATTTGTAATGGGCCTGTGGGCAGGCTCAGAGTGGTTAAAAGTGAGTGGGAGTTCAATTCTTTGTGATTATTTCAGAAAGATTTATCTAATGTAAGTGTTTGCTTCGTTTCTTTCTGTTGCTATTTTAGTTAGTGTAGATTTGTTATGTTTCTTGCTGTTTTGAGGTTGTGTTAAAGGGAAGTTATTCTGACAACATCTACAATACTATCTTCCCAATTGTGAGATGTCCAGGCCAATATAGCTTTACCAGCTCACAATAAGTAGACTCTAAACCTGGTCAAAAGTTCACTGTTCCTATATTTTAAGCTGTGACAGAGAAATACAAACCCTCTTCTCAGGTGCCAACTTTTTAACCATCTGTTCACTTAAAATTTTCTTTCATTATTTGAATTCCATCTTCAATTGGGATCGGCATCAATAATGAAAACACCATTGTCCCTAAGTTTTCCCCCAAGCCTTCATAATCCCTATCAATGCTTTTTAGGTTCATTCTGGTAGTATAATTTGCTCTCTACTTGAATTGTCAGTCTTGGGAAATACTCTATCATGTTTTGGATACTTGCTTCCATAAGACTGCAAGCATGTGCCTGTGTTGTTAATGCCAGGTTTATAAACAGCTCCTTTAGAAGGGAATTACCTTCATTATTCATCAATGCTATCCAATCCAATACACATTTATTAAGTGCTCATTATATGCTAGGCACTGTGCTAAGCCCTGGAAATACACTTAATAAAAAGACACTCCCTGCCCTCAAGGAGCTTACAGTGTAAAATAGGGAAATAGCATGGAAAAGGAAATAGGAAAGCAAGGGCAAGGAGCATAGAATGACACACCAGGAGGTACCTGCTGTGGAGGCATCTTGTTCTATAGAGTTGAAGTCAAGGCAGTAGATGCAGAATGGAGTGAGCTGCAAGGGCAATTTTTGCTCTCTATAAAGGAAGACATTGTTAGGGTATCCTACCATTCAGCCCTTCAATCAAAAGGGGAGAAGAGGCTGAGTGAGGTAATGTCAAAGCTTGAGTTAGCAGCATAGTGATGAGATTAGAAGTCCAGTGCCAAAGCTGAGGGGGCCTGGTCCTGGTTTGTTGAACAATTGGCATGCATTTCTGAATAAATTGATATGCTTGGAAGCCTGAATCTTTGTTTCCTCAGTCATTTTATCTTTCACCCACCACAATACTCACAACACCTCTGTGAGGTAGGTGCTGTTATTTTATAGTTGAGGAAGCTGAGGCAAACAGGGGTTAAGTGACCTTGCCGAGATCACCCATCTAGTAAGTGTCTGAGACCAGTTTGGAACTTGGGTTTTTCTGACTCCAGGCCCAGCACTCTTATCATCTGTGCAAGCTAGCTACGGTACTGTCTTCCCAATAGTACTGTGAGATGGGAGCTAAAGGAGGGAGAAATATAAGAGGACAGGATGGAATGAAATACACAATTGACAATTATAGCCGTGAATCTCAATGCTATAAACTCACCCAGAATATGAAAGAGGATAGCAGAATATATTAGGAAACAGAATCCAACAATATATTGTTTATAGATTCACATAGAGTTAAACAAGAGGGGCTAGAACAAAATCTTTTATGCTTCCCCTGAACTGAAAAAAAATGGGAGTAGTAATAATGATTTCAGATGAAGTTTTAGTAAAAATAGACATGATTAAAAAAGACAAACAGGAAAATTATTACGTTATTCTTAAAGGCACCATAGATAATTAATTCAATACTTAATGTATATACCAAATAGCATAGCATCTTAAATATTCAAAGGAAAAAGTTATTGAATTGGAGGGAGAAATAAATAGTAAAACTCTAGTAGTAGGGGACCTCAGTGTTCTCCTTTCATATCTAGACAAATGTAACTAAAAAATAAGGACCTGACTAGAACTTTAGAAAAATTAGAAATGATAGTTTTTTGGTGATTCTTGAATGGAGATAGGCAGTGGTGGTACCACTTTTACAGATTGACAGATGGCTTCCCTCTCAACCCTCTGTTCAAGCCCAAGGTCAGGGGAAAGACCTCAAGAACTTGAGGAATGCTGGGTAAACTACCTAGTCCCACAAGTAGTTCCCCGAGTCTCCCAGGGCTTCTGAAAATTTTCTTTTGTGTGCAGGACCAAAAAGTGGTTATCTTTATTTGATCTAAAGGTAATAGAGAGCCACTGAAATTTGAGTAGGAGAGTGACAGACCTGCCTGCATTTTAAGAAAATCAGTTTGTCAGCTTTTGGGAGGATGGAGTGGAGTGGGGAGGGATAAAACAGGGAGATCATGTGGGAGGCTGTTGCAGTAATCAAAAGGAGAGATTGTGAGAGTCTGAACTAGTGTGGTGACTATGTGAGAAGTGACAACACTTGGCAGCTGTTTTAATATGTGGAATGAGTGTGAATAGTTAAGGATGGCGCACTGAGGTTGCCAACTTGGGTGATTGGAAGGAAGGATCATTGTGCTTTCAACAGAAAGAGGAAAGTTGAGAAGGAAGGGTAGGGTTTTTTTTGGGGGGGGGATATAATAAATTCTGTTTTGGACATGCTGAGTTTCTGATATTTCTAAAATGTTTAGTTAGAAATGTCCAGTAGGCAGCTGGTGATGTGGGTGTAGAGCTCAGGAGAGAGACTAATATTGAAGTTTTAAATGTGAAAATCAGTAGCATAGATATGACCCATGGGACCTGATGAGGTCACCAACGGATAGAGAGGGAAGAGGGCCCATGTATATTTAATGCTTTATTTTTAAAAAACAAATGTCAAATCTATGGGCAAATTAATGCAACAGAATGGAATTGTTCACTCCTTTAAAAAAGGACACATTCAAGGTATATAACACTTTTATTTGTGCAGGACAAACTTATATTTCTACAACTTTTTGGGAGATTCCAAAGATTTTCAATTAAGGGATAGAGGGAGGGGCTAGTAAATTAAGAGTATTTAGTTTTTCTGTCACTAGAGAAAAGAAATTTTAAGAAAATGAGAACGGATTTTAAAATATGTGATGTCTTCATGTTTTCCATCAGCATTTCTACATTTGAGCAAGTGCAGGAAATGTTTTCATTCTTAGTCTTTCAACTTCTGCCTGCAAAATTGCAATCTGTTCAACCTGACTTCTTGAAATATCTGCTAGCTTTTGTTGTTGCAACATAGCATCATAACGTTCCATGGCAATCTTTTCACAAGTCAGCTTAGATCCTATTTACAAACAAAACAAAACAAACACACCCCCCCACCCAGAAAATTAGTGGAACCACTGTCTAAAGTATTGAAAAAACATAATTTATCTTGAATGGATTAATAAAACTATTAAACTAGGGAAAACATTTTAAATGTTAAGAGCTTTGTGTACTGTTGTAATAAAACTTTCTGATATGCAGCTTTCTGCCAACTTTTTAACCATACAAAGATAATTTGGCTTACCAAGTGATTTACAGATTTTTCTTCTTTCGCTGATGGTCACCAACTCTTCTTTTAGTTCACAACTTAGAGTATAATTTGCTAAATCTCTTTGAGTGATTAACTTTCCTAGTTGCTTGAATAATTTTTTGAAGGCTTCCACCTCTCTTTTGTGAGCCTGGCAATTATATAATTTCCCAAAAAATATTGAGGAAAAAGGGCATTGTAACTTACTACTTTATTAAAAATGATGCTATTAAAATTAACAATTCCTAGATGTATGAATTATTATCATTGATATTAACAGCAACCAAAACCTTTTGTATGACTATGGATATAGAAGCAGAAAAAAAAGTTTGACATGGTTTTTATCAGCCCAAAATTTGTTGTAATAAATTTAATTTTATAACTAATCATCAAAAACATTTAGCATTTACTTTGTGCAATATGCATAGAAGAGACTACAAATATTTCACTAAACAGATAACAAATTGGTGTTTTATAAATAGCAAACTAGTGTGACCTAATTACTAATCTCTGAAGATAACAATTATAGTTACAAGATGTCACACTATGCCATTTGTTGCAGATCGCTGCTAAGGGGATTATAGTCTATTACTGTGTTTCTTGGATTGGTAATGGACTATGGTTGCAGATTTCTAAGATTCTTTTCTGATTATAATCTCCTGTTCTTCAGTCTCTCCATTTGTCTCAGCTTCTCTCAAACATATTCTTCATCCTTGCTGTGAACTTTACTCCTTTTTTTCCTATCTCTTCTTCCATTTCATCAACCCTACTCCAGCTTCATGGCTGTCCTTTCTTACTCTTTACTACAGTTAACCAGCTCATCTCTGCATGGTTTCTACTCCCTTAGCCCTTTATTATTATGCAATTTTCTTCTGCTCTTAATTCCTTGCCAATGTTTAGGCTGATGTGCCACCCAGCATCCCTCTTTTCTGCTGTTCTTCCTGATATCCTGGACTCTGCTGGTACAAGTTATGTAATATTCCTGCAAATTCATAGTGTTCTCAATTGGGCCCTCACTGCTGTCACTTTAGTTCTTCTGATTGATTCTTTATCACACTTTCACTTTGTTTTAAGCCTTCTCTTGCTTTAAGCCCCTAATGCAGTGTTACTAAGAAAATCAATCCTATTTGTCAAGTCTTCTGGCTTAATCTGTATCTCAGAACCCCTCTACTTACTTATCCATCCTCTCCTCCTTTTCTCAAGGAAAATGTAGCTCTTCTTGCCAATGTTAATCCTTTTCTTTGTGGCCTTGATTTCTTCTGCCACTTCTAGTAGT